TCCGAAACGATTTTGGAGAAAATTAATGAAGTTGCATTGAAAATAACAGTCAAATTAATCATAACAAACCTTTTTGAGACTGTAAATACCTTTCATCTAAAAATTTAATCCATGTTATGGAAGAATTCAACACTTTTTCACCAACGTTTTTTACTCACTTCAAATTTTCACACCTTGTTGACATTCTGAACTCTCGGAATTTTTCATAGTAAATGAACTGAGTTAGAGTTATCTCCAGTATTTTCTTCTGCTACATTGACAATACACGAATCGCATTCTATCGTTAAACCGGGTCCGTAGGATATTTATCATTTTCTGTCTAGGGGTGGGACACTTCGAGAGGGGCGAGAGAGGCTATAGGGAGTTATGGTATAAAATTTCATAGCAAAAGCTCAAAAGCTTCTCGAGATATGGCCCGGAAAACAAAAGTGTTACACACAGACGGAATTTATGAATTTATGACCTTGAACTTTGACCTTTTTACCTCAAAATCTATAGAGGTCTTCCTTATGCCACAGGGTGTTGTCATGTAAAATTTCATTAGAAAAGCTCACAGAATTCGCGAGACATCGCGCGGAAACGAAAGTGTTAAAACAGACAGAATTTATGAAGTTATGACCTTGACCTTCGACCTTTTGACCTCAAAATCAATACAGTTCTTCTTTAGGCGATAGGGAGTTGCTATGCAAAATTTCATTGCGAAAGCTCAAAGGGTTCTCGAGATATCGCGCAGAAACGAAAGTGTTACAGAGAGACAGAAATACAGACGGACAGACGGACGGACGGACAGACAGACCCAAATTAATATCCCCCACTTTCAGTGAAAGCGGGGGACAAAAATCGCAGTTTATTGCAATACGAAATTCCCAACCGATACCTAGCCCTATTGTTGAATTATCACAACACCCGTATTGACCGAACACATCGTGTTTTTATCAGGTAATTATTTTGACGGCTAATCTGATTGGCTATATATAGGAGACCTCTTTTAGAATAAAAACAGAAACGTTTTGACGTTCGCTTCGTAACATTTTTCCTTTGAGAAAATAATTAGATTTTAGAAATCTAAAACATCATTTAATAAACCTATACGAAGAAAATTCAATATTAAGTTTAACATATATACTTGTTTTGCATACTTTTAGGATTAAAATGAATAAATAAAACACTAGAAGCTATGACTGCGGATACTATTACCGTGGATTTAAAACCAGTAGAGCACCGCTTTGATTTGAAGCGACTAAAATCCCAAGGCATGCGCAGAGGCCAGTGATTTGAGTCGCTCTTTTCCCTATATATTCTATTAAGAGCGACCCTGAGCACTAGCGACAGAAATCACGGTTACACGGTGTACCAGGTTCGATTCTCGTTCATTGTGCCGCTGATAAAAAGATCAGGAGACGCAGTTATCTCTGGAGCCTTCGCCGAGCCTCCCCAACCCTTGAATGAACACGTATCACATCTCATTTCTATAGGTATTATTATAAATATAGTAATAAAAGTAAGGGGCAGATTTCCATGGGGGTCATTTTTTGACGTGTGTGGAGTCGTAGAATTACCGACCTAGAAGGGTTTTCTTCGGTCGGAAAATGACCCTACTACCATGGCCGTAGAATATTGACCGGAGGGTCATTTTTCTACGTAGAAGTAATGTGACGCTCTAATGGAACACTAATAGCTGGTTTTAAGGTGGACACGTGCAGAAATTCTACAGTTGTGGTCGTCAAATAGCTATAGATAATAAATAAGCTTTCTACCATTGAAAAATTTCAATTTAGATTTTCATGCAATAGACAGTTTGATTTTGATGGGTATCCCGGTTACGTCAAAGTTGTTGCACTCCTTTATTACATTTTTTCTTCAGGTGTCGATAAACTACACATTAGGAGAAAAAATGCCACATATTCCTTTCTTACTATGCCACATACGACATGAACATTAGAGATTAAGTAAAGGTGTTTCGTTTCCTAAAATAACATTTCCATATCACTTCATATCTGAGGATTGACGATGTTATATAAAAGACTTTATTTTAGCTAAGATACGTGTGCTTATTACACTATCAAACAAGTTAAATTGATGCGAAGCATCAAATCGGCCACAAAAATACATGTATATATCTTTTGAAGAATTTCCACAAGAAAGAGTTCAAAGTGAAAGAAAAAATCCAAATAGACACTTACATTGCTTTACTTCTCTGTGCATTTTTACACTAGTTTTCAGTGATTAAATTTCAATTGTTAAATATTTTATTCAAAAAAAAATTCATTGAATTAAATATGAAAATCGGACTGCAATAAAGGATAGGAATGTATTATCATCAAATTATTTGACTCAGAAATAAATGCAACAAATATCTAAAATAATTGATTATGAATGTCTGAATGCTGACAAAAAGGACACAAGCTTCACGTGCTGATACCCTGGATTTTTGTAATGTATGTTAAGTGTAGAAAAAAAAAATCATTGTGTCACTTGCAACTGCAGCGTAAATTCAAAACAAAATTCAGTTCTTATTCCAATTTATTAATTATTTTTGGCACTGTAATTCATATCCGGAAACTCAATACGTTTTCTTTTTATATCGTACGCACGCCCATGTTAGGGAGCAGTTTATGAAAGAACTTTTTGTAAAATCATTAAATTGATAAATATCTGACGAGAAATGAAAAACAAATTAAAACATAATAAGAAAATATTTAGACTTGGTTTTATGCATTTTTAAAGGCTTTTATTTGTAACTTTTATGTTTGTTATCAATAAGGAATTATTCCCACGAAGCAGTAAAAAAAATAACGCCTCATTTCCCCATGTGCACATTCTAACACAACCACAAATAGATCGGCCGCTGCTGCGGCCGATAATGATACATTCCACATATACGTCTGTCAGTCAATTTGTCTGTTAATTTTATTTTTTCCATTACCAATTTTTCAAACGGCAATTGCTCATACGGTTTTTGTTCAATTTCAGTAAAACTGGCACACATGCAGCCTACACTTCGATACAGAATTTCTTTTTTTTTTTATCGGTTTTTGTTTTCGACGAACAGTGTTGTCATGCTTCCTTAAAATAGAAATTTCTGTAAATGAATTCAGAACGGCACCCCTCCTACGATTTTGATCCGATTTCTTGGTATACTAGAAGATTGCACTTGAAAATATACATCTGTGTATCGGACTTTGATTTCTGCCAATGTTGGTGCCATGGTGTCTGAGATAAATTCTTTCAAAACGCTATTCCATTGATCTAAATAAAACTTGGAACACATGTATATTACACCATGGTACGCATCAACTAATCGATTAACAATGATACAGTTGTTAATGATAATAGAATTATGTGCTCGTTCAACCTACAGTTTAGTTTCAATGAAATACAAAGGAATAACTGTGTAATTTTTTGGATTCATGATGCGATCAATCTAGTGGCTTGCGTGATAATTTGCATAAACGCCGAAAGCGTTTATGCATAAAATTATCACGCAAGCCAATCGATTGATCATCGTCATGAATCCAAAAAATCTGACAGTTATTCCTTATATTTACATGCTCCTGATTCTGCAAATTCACGTGCTAATAGCCCCGCTTCTGTCTCTATTTGTCCCGCCCCGCACGTGATTTTTTTTAACCGCGCCTATCGATGAACCAGTAGATTTATGTAGAAATAAAGTATTTTTACAATTATACACAAGTACATTACACTAAACTTAAACACAGAATTCTAGTCATCAGTTTTAACATATACACTGCACACGTGCATGTGTAATTGGGACAGGGAATGCGACGGACCAGGATTCGAACCTGGGCCCCATAAATCACTACCTATAGGCAGGTTTTCAACTAATTCAGCTATCTGGCCACCGGCGATCGAACGTGCCTGACCACCAACCCAGGTTTTTACCCGGCACGTCTTTCGCCAATCACTTCTTGACCATGATACGACTCGACCAAAATGTAACAGAGACAGGTTTTTGCCTTCGCTTGAGACACTAGCCCAAACTACATGTAGTAGGATGTCATTTATCAAACACTACCACATTGTCCTCTTCTCTTACGGAGAGTCAGCGCTAATCTCAGCGAGATCCGTAGAGACTAAAAATTTTGGTCTGGAGTCTCTACGGATCTCAGTACAGTATCACACAAACTGATTCGGGCTTTCTTGCCCCAACTTCGACCGCCTGTTTCAATCAATACGGGCTGAAATGAATTAGCTGCCCGCTTCAACTTTTTCCTTTGGACATCCTTTTAGGTCTCTATCACTATAAAACATTCATGTCTTACCTTTAAAAGGTTTAAATCCAACAAAACATAAAGTTGTATATTTTTCATAGCTATGTGCTAATCGTTTAAACCTCGGACGCTGAAGAGTTCCAGTCAAGGTCGCAAATAGTCCGTTTCAAAATGTTTCGTACTATGATTTATATAGAAAACGGTATCCAGAAGAACAGAACTTTTTAAAAACGCCCTCAATTTGCAATTTTTTTTTTGCACAAAACATTGAACACGGAAATTATACGCAATTAAAAGGAAACTTTGATAATTTTATACAGTCCACTTCACTTATATTCATATTCTGGAATGCAGTTTTATGGTGTCTTTGAATAGAAGATTGTTAAAACTTTATACCTGACATTTTTTTTCACTTCGTTACTCACCACAATTTAAGTTGCTCATAAGACAATAAATAATTTCAAAAATTAATAGACATGTTTATAATTTTAATAATTTTCTTTAACGGTAAATAATACTTTACAAGAAGTAGCCTACAGTATGCTGAAAAGAAGAATCCTGAAGTTTGTACACTCTGGTGTATTATGACTGAAAGAGATGATACAAATAAATCTTTTTGTAATTGCATTCAAGTAAACATTCATCAAAGGACAAACGTCTTCAAAAACTTAATATTAAGAAGAGGAAAGAGCCCGATTAATCTAATATATGTAAGCATCCATATGTACAGTAGATTATGTGGGTCCTCTTGTTCCTTAAATTTCCTTTCTAATCTGTTGCTGTGCACCTCCGGATTTTATCAAGTCTTTTAGAAAGCTGGCACAGTTTTTTCTTCAATCTTTCCGGGTGCCTGGATTCGATTGAGAAATTGAAATCAGGGTAGCTTTTGAAGCTTCTTCCAAGGCTATACCTAAAAAACTGTTCTGGTAGAAGCAGTTTAACAAACAGTTCCAAATCCTTGGTGTAACTTGTATGGTCTTTCCTAATGAAGTCAGAGAGGTGTGCCTCAACAGACTCAGCATAAGCTTTGTCAATGACTCTGCCCAAACCTCCAGCTAGTTGGCTATGTCTGTGGATTGTTTCCTCTGTTAAATTGCCTCCTGCATCCTTCAGGGACTCTGTTACAAAAAAAAAAGGAACTTGAGACATATCTGTCTATCTATCTATCTATCTATCTATCTATCTATCTATCTATATATATATATATATATATATATATATATATATATATATATATATATATATATATATATAACTATATCTTTATGTTTTCAACAAAAGAATAAGAAGAACTAATGCATTACATACCTTTAAACTCTTTGTTCAAGAACTCGTTTACCATATCACATTCCAAATTTCTACCAGGACCACCTGCTAAATTGACAGTTCTATTCCAGATACTGTCCATGGCAAGACGCTCTGGAAGCCAGCCAGCCACCCCTAAATTTTGGCATAAATACATATATATATAATAGCCATTTTGTCTTAGTGTAAAGCAAGAATATATAATATCTACATGTAATTTAACAAACTAAAAGTTAACAACTACCATAAATTACCATTTATTGATTACCATACCTGCTAACAGTCTGTGTCCAAGTAAGACATATTTGGGATGATGGTTGTTATGGAAAAGGATCATATCCAGTCGCCAATGGGACATCATGGCTGTTCCATCATTTTCCCGGACAGCATCATGACGGACAAGATCCATCAGTCCTACAAACATCAGTGCTGTTATGTAATTGAACACACCATCCTCCTTTGTATCAGCCTTCAAATTCCTCTTCAAACCTGCTATCCTACATTCTTTACTGCAGAACCATTTTCCAGCTATGAAAGAATTTTTGTCAGTTACTATTTAAACGGCACAGCATGCAGCATGTAATGTTTCTAAAAACACATTCATTTGAAACATATAAACAGTAAATAACCTGGTGCATTTTTCAGTCCTACACATTTCAAATGATACCACTCCTTCCTGCAATTCGGATTGTCACACCCCACCATCGGCTCATACTGTCCCATGTCCACATGGCAGTTGCAGTATTTATAAACAGCACGTTTTCTGCAATCATCAGAACAGTAGAACTCTTCATCAGGAACATCATCATCCTCCATGTGCAAACACTGTAGATGGAACCAGTTATTCCCTGGACAATGAATACCGGAGCAGTAGATCATTGGGACATCATCTCCAAGATCTATAAAAAAAAAAATGATGGGAAAATGGGAAAGAAAATTTCAGACATTGAAACAGAGAGAGAGAGAGAGTATAACTTACCTATTTTACAAAGGCAGTAAATATAGCTGTCTTCCTCATCTGCATCGCTGCCAAGGATTTTTTCCACTCTAGGACTATGCCAGATGAGTTGGACAACTCTTCTAGCAACATCTGTCAGGAGGGTGTCATCATCTCCATCTTCCGGTAGATTAGGAGGGTCCCCTATGCTCTCCATACCACACATATCCATCGTTGCCAGGAGGACATAACCATGCGTTACAAACTTTATAAAGTCTGCTGCATGGTTAAATGTCTCTCCTACATCTTTCTTAACAGACCTGTGTCCAAAAACATTTTTCAGATGGAAAAGAGTTCCCTTTACTGCTGCACTGCTTCCATGGAAAAATGTGTCCATTAGATCCTGTTAATGCACAGACAGTGATATAGCACATATTTGCTACCATATAATTAGAGAAAAGTTTCATTTAGTTTTCATTGAGATGAAATTACCTGCATAAGTAGCATTCTCTTGTGAAATTCTTGAACCTGAGGCTGCAATCCCTGTAGTCTTGAGAGCATTGATTCTCCATTTGAACGAGCCATGTGAGCATCATTGTGTCTCTCACAAGACAATCCATCGCCAAAACATATCAGTTGGAAGAGTTCATCCCCCTGTCGTGGAACATACTCATGCAGTTGTTCCATAATCTTGATGGTCCCAGTGGTGGTTGAGGGATTTTCCTGACAGACTCCAAGATTTATCTGCATTCAAGTATGCATATATTTCAAATACTTCTTATGCAGACAGTAATTGTTCAGAATTAATTTTTCATGATAAAATAAGCAAATTTATATTACTGAAAACACATAATCAACAGTTGAAAAGTGAACTTACTACTTTACTCTTCCTGCTAGACTCTCTCCAGAATTTGTGTCTGATGTGAGGAACAACTTTGCAGCTATTAAAGTAAGGCATCTCCTTCTGTATGATCCTTGCTACGATGACCTCCATGCGCTGTTTGATTTCGGTGATGTCTTCCTCCATTGGCAAAAACTTCTGGAGCGGTATATCTGAAGCATTCACATAACTGTTTGTTAAGTGTGTTGTAGGAATTCTGTTCTCCGCACAGTAAGCCAAAGCCCATAGCATCATTTTATTTTGCCGTTCTGTACTCTGATGACAGGCCTTTACCATTTTCCCAACATTGTCCCATGTGATACAAAATCCCCGTGAATATGGAACTGGAATACAAATACTTGCATTGTTTAAAGTTATTAATTTTATAACTTTTACTAAAAAATGGTTGAACACCATGCTAAATTTAATGTTTCCTATTTTCATACAAGGTTTTCTTAATGAATAAATTAATTCTTTATTTAATACATGTACTACCTAAATCCGAAACACTTTCAATTGTGTTCAGTTCTTCATCATCTCCGGAAACAGATTCCTCAGAGTCCTCCATTCGTGGAAGCTCTTGAAGAGAGCCTGATGAGGTACCTACATCAGTCCCTGAGGACTGAACTACTTCCTCAGAGCTCAGTTCACTGATATCTATATCAGTATCACTCTCTAAACATGTTCCCAAAGTACCTGCTTCCATCTGGTGCTATTAATCACAATGAAATGACAGGAGTTTACTAATGTTAAAAAGGGGCAGCATGTTCTTGTAAAGAATACGTTAGTATAAATCATAACAAAAAATTATAAATTTAAATACCTCAATGACCCTTTTCAAATACAACAAATCCTCATCTGAATGCACTCTTAATTGAGATATCAGTCTCAAAGCTGTGTTCTTGCTTGTGCAGAATCCCAACTGATTCAAGTGCAGAAATGCCTAAAGAAATTTTATTTCATAATTAGTTTCTCTTGTTAATTGACACAATAAATTGACTTGATAATAAAAAAAATTACAATTTTAAATACCTTTCTTTGTGCACCACATCTCCATAATTCAATAGAATTCAACCCCTGCACAAACTTCACTTTCAATGGGGAATACAAATGGAGAAGGACTGAAACTGCTAGTCCAATACCAGGAGCCAATGGTTTATTGCGAACTCTAAAAAAAATGTTGAAATGTTTGCCATCTATAAAACAATTAAAAAAATGAAATGAATATAATATATATCAGTTACTATAACAGGACCTAGAATTCCATGTTCTCAATTTTAAGATATACACCTGGTAGTAATACATGTTAAACACATCTAATTCATCAAAATACATGTACAGGTATATAAAGCAGAAGTGCTTTACTATTATACTTAATGTCATAGGAATTTATATTAACCTTGATCGAAGATTTTTCTCATTGGATGGACTGGCAACGGTGGCAATTAATGCTGAATACAGAATGGGAATGTACTTCGCAACATCAGACAGAATAGCTGACCAACTGAATTTTTTTATGTTCTCCAAGTTGCATTTCTTAAGAAGACTTCCCTCTTTGTCATTAAGGAGATTCTTTACACCTTTCCTTATTTCTTTCTTTACCAAGTTCTCCACTGCTCTTCTGGCACCAGCATAATTGTTGTATAAATATGTGAAGGCTTTCTTATATTCATAATGCTCTATGCATCTACAGGCATATCCGACACTTTTAATCTAAAATTAGCATAATATTTTACATTACTATTCTGAAGGGTATCAGTGCCATTTGGACACTTTTTTAAAAAAATTTTCACTGTCCGCACTTTCCATTTGTAAAATTAAGTATTTAAGATAATATGTTGTTACAGTATGCATGCGGAGGAAGGGGACACTGCCCCCTTTTTTCATGGGCAAGATAAAACAAATTATTAAAGTGCAACAATTAAAAGAAATCATAAAAAATTACTTTGGAAACTCCCTTTGGGAAAAAAAGATTTCTTGTAACTTTGTGGAATCTAAGAGGCCCAAGAATTAGATTTTCAAGTTTGAATATTGCAAATTTAATTTCTGTCTTCTTATATCTTTGCCTAAATTTTCAACTCAGAAATATTTTTTGAGTTAATTACTCTGAGTAATTTTTGGATCCGCATCTAGTTTATTTAATTTTCTTTTGTAAAAACCATTTTCATATTACCCGGTATGTGATTACAGTATTTCTTTGACATTGTGCGTATTATCTTACTTTAACATCTTTGAACTTTGAAGGAGTACTGCCAACCGGTCGAAAAACCTTTGTTTTCCGCGGTGTCTTTACCGGCGTCAACCTTCGTTTGTATTCCATCTCTGCTATGTTACACGCGTGTTTTCGCGCCAAATGTCATGAGAATACGTTTGACGTTCGACGTCAAGATTAAAAGAGTTATGGACGTAAAGAATATAACTGAAACTTTTGAGTCACTGAAAAGCGTGTACAATTTTCCATTTCATCTCAAAAAAGAACAATTAGCAGTCATTCAAGGGTTAATGAACAAGCGAAACGTTTTTGCTTTGTTACCTACCGGTTATGGAAAATCCATGTGCTTTACTCTACCTCCTTTGTTGCTTGACGAGGTAATTATATTTAATTAGCAATTTTGTTCTTATATTATGTGCAAACACTCTTTATTCTACAAATTTTCTCATTTAAAATCCGAATAAATTACGAAATGTGTTAATCCAGTGGTCCCAGAAATTTTTAGAGATGTCAAAATGTTTAACCCCCTTGAAATCATTGGCCCCTATATATATATATATATATATATATATATATATATATATATATATATATATATATATATATATATATATATATATATATATATATATACATTTGTGTGTGGGGGGGTAAGGGGGGTGGGTTGAAGGAACCCCCACCCAACCCCCATGAAAGGTTTTTAGGTTGAACAATTTTTTTTTGGGGGGGGGGGAGTTGTCAAGAAAGTTTCACTTGAATTTTCTAAGTAAGTATGTAACCCCACCCCCGCAAAAAAGTTTGATGGTGTAGACAAATAATGAAAAAATGTCCATTTCACAGCTTGATTGGACCATTCGCCATATAGCCATTGTGGTGTCACCTTTGAAATCTCTTATGGCTGACCAGGTAAACACGCTGAAGGAGATGAATGTCCAGTCAACTGCTGTAGAACCAGATATGTCCACGGAAGCTATTGCTGGTAAATATCTTTTTAGCATGTACTTTTCCAAATCACATCTATGATCAAATTAGATATTTAGGTTGACTGACATGCGTATTTCTTTTTACAGGTATCAAGGAAGGAATGTTCTCAATATTATTCTTATCCCCTGAGTCAGTAAGATCAAAATTCTGGAGAGAGATATTCCTTAGTAGTAGTATGCAGAAGAAAGTTTGTTTGTTGGCCTGTGATGAAGCCCATTGCATATCTGAATGGTATTACATTATAATGGAAGTTTTATCTTACAGAAAAGATTGTTACATATAAATTGCTCTTGAAGTTGACCAACTTGTTGAAACTCTGTATATACTTGCATATTTGTCATAATTATTCTAGGGGAGAAGATTTCAGACCAGCATATAAGGATGTTTTACACTTGAGAAGCATGTTTGTTGATGTTCCAGTTCTTGGAGTAACAGCAACCTGCGATGAAAAGGTCCGTAAAGACATTTTCACATCATTGGCTCTTGATGATGAATCTTTAACAGTGGCTGTGGTCCCTGACACGTAGGAAGATATTCAAATATATATAATGCCATTGTGCAGTTATCAACTTCAATTTTGTTCATGTGAGTTCAAAGCTTTTTAGTTATGCATTGATTTTTTGAGAACTGCCTTGCCTTTTATGTTATATTTGCAGACCTAACATATACCTCGACATTAGGGAATCCAAACAGGACCATGAAAAGGAATTACAATAGCTTTTGGACTACCTATTGAGAGACACCATTTGTTTAAAGAAAATAATTGTGTATTGCAGGTAAGCATGACTATTATATATGTTATTGAATTTTTAAATCTGTTGACATTACTGAAATTGTATAATTAATACATGTTTCATTATAAAATTCATGTCTGTGACTTCAACTGCTACTCTCTACAATCACGTAAAAGACCATCTACTTCTGCAGAAAAAATCTGTACAAATTATTGACATGTTTCATCGTAACATCGATGAAGACAGCAGTGTAAGAATATTACAGTCTTTTAAAGATAATGACAGTGAACTTAAATGTTTGTTCTCTACTGTGGCATTTGGGATGGGAGTTCAAATTCCAGATGTGGAACTTGTAGTTCACTGGGGAGTTCCCAAGTCTGTGCTCTGTTATTGGCAGGAAGTTGGAAGAGGAGGAAGGGATGGAAGGGATGCGTATGCTATATGCTATGCATATGGCAGGTCATTGATTAAGAAAATCACGGACGAGAAGATGATATCAGTTGCCAAGTCATCTTTGCAGAAAAATGCATGCATTCGATATTCTGTTCTGAAGAACATGGAGATAAAAGGAATGGCATTGTCTCACCTACAGGAAAATGGTCAAAGTTGCAGTGGAAATGAAGATCAGTGCCTAGCTTCTAGGTGTTGCACTTTCTGTTCCTTGAAGTGCAGCTGTGGTAACCAATCCAAAGTTGGAGATGAGTTTGGTATCCCATGATATCATTACATATTGATATGCAGACTTGGGTCCTTAATTCAGACTTTCAAGTACATAATTCAGTAATCAAAATCATAAAATTATCATTATTATGTACTGAGATTAGCCAGTTGTATACTAAATGTGTGCTTTTCAAAAATTCTTTTTTTAAAATTTAATCTTAATTAAGTGTGTCTTTGTTTGTATGTATAAATTTCATTGAGAGGCTTTAATTGCATTTTATATACCTTGATTTGAGATATAGAAAAGAAAAATTTAACTGAGAAAACTGCATTCCAGAATATGTATATAAATGAAGTGGACTGTATAAAATTATCAAAGTTTCCTTTTAATTGCGTATAATTTCCGTGTTCAATGTTTTGTGCAAAAAAAATTGCAAATTGAGGGCGTTTTTAAAAAGTTCTGTTCTTCTGGATACCGTTTTCTATATAAATCATAGTACGAAACATTTTGAAACGGACTATTTGCGACCTTGACTGGAATTCTTCAGCGTCGGAGGTTTAAACGATTAGCACATAGCTATGAAAAATATACAACTTTATGTTTTGTTGGATTTAAACCTTTTAAAGGTAAGATATGAATGTTTTATAGTGATAGAGACCTAAAAGGATGTCCAAAGGAAAAAGTTGAAGCGGGCAGCTAATTCATTTCAGCCCGTATTGATTGAAACAGGCGGTCGAAGTTGGGGCAAGAAAGCCCGAATCAGTTTGTGTGATACTGTACCGAGATCCTTAGAGACACCAGACCAAAATTTTTAGTCTCTACGGACCTCGCTGAGATTAAGTCAGCGCCTGTAGGGTTAAGTTCTTAAAGCAATCGCTTCCATCCGCCAGAGAATACCCGGACTCAATTTTTGAATTTTCAAATAAAATATGGTTCAAAATAAAATCTCATAATTTCCGGCGTGACGGAAGTGAATGCACACGAGTTGTCTTTTCATATAATGGCGACCCGATATGAGCAACAATACAATTAATAATTGATATTAGGCAGCATGCAATTTGCTGGACACACAGACAAAATGTTTTCGTCAACCTTGGTTTGGGCAATTTATTGAATTATTTATTTATTATTATGTTTTGCTTTCTGATTACTTTTTAATGAATTTCCTTATTAAAAACAAACAAACTAAACAAAAAAATGTTTTGTGACAAATCATCGATAGCTATGTGATGCGATTTTGTGGCATTCATTTAATTATAATGCTTTAAACACAGATGTGAACATTTTTTTCATAAGGTCTGTGTCAATTTCTAATGCTATTTTAACATTAGGCTGCTCGTTACGTAAATTTAAATTATCACAAATCATTTGTCCTCGAGATAATCTACCATGAAGTTCTACTGTGGCAAAAACATCACGCGACTTAGTAACGATGGCTTCCTGTAAAGCAATCGCGACAACAGTAGGGTCACAAAAGTTGTACGCAGGATATTTCCATTCGTTGTGTTTATCAAGTGAAGACCGTAGTATAGAGTTATGGAATACACCTTTTGGAGTCTTTATATTTAAAATATCTTTCAGCCATTCCTGTAATGTTACAAAATGCATTTGGATTAAAAAAAAAAAGAAGTAAATTTGTTTATTTTAAATTTTGAGATCACAGCTGTCCAAATCATAGAACTTGATACATAAAATAAACGACCGTAGTAAAATAAACTAGATTAGATGATATGTATTAGATAAATATTTCTTTTTCCGTTTTTTTAGTCTTTGTTAAAATAGTATAGAAGCCCAGAGATATTCAATCAGCATCAATATATCCCCCCCCCTTCCAAAAAAAAAAACCCGAAAAAACAACATGCAAAAGTCAAACATATAAACAAAAAGCAAAACTATAGAAAGAAAAAAGTCAAATAAACAAACGACAAAGGGAATTTTTTTTTACAAAAATAATGATGTACAAAAAAAAGTATCACAGCTATAGAACTGCAATTTATATAATTAACAACGACTGCTCCGTTTATTGCTGTAAAATGGTCATTTTAAAAGAATTTCACAAATTAATTGATGTATATGAAATATCATTTAATTACCCAGGAATATGTATTCTTTAGAACGGCTTCCCATGAAAAAGTAGTGAGAGGACATGATAACTCATGTAGAATCATATAAGCTGCTTCGGGATCACAGTGAAAGTTGAACTCTGCTGCAGTGCCATCCTCTATGTTGCCTTGACCTTATAACAGAATCATTGTGCAATTCAAACTAGAACTACCTCCTTGGTTAATCATTTTCACTTTAACGAGATTACTTCTTTGTAATTTCTCAAGATTCCGCATTCCATTCATCTCGAAAATTTTATTCAGCATTTAACAAAAAAATGAATCTCAGAAAAAAAATGTGACATGAAGAACTTGATTATTCTCCAGTAACAAAATATTACATTGTACTACAGGTGTATTTAATATTAACTAGCTGTTGTGAAATGTAGTGAGGGATTTGAAAATCATACCTTCTATATTTCCTCCCATTATAACACATTTCTTAAGTTGTTTTCCTAGGTTTGGATTGAGTCTTATAGCCACCGCAATGTTTGTAAGTGGACCAATGGCTACCAGTGTAACATCGCCTTCAGGAAAAAAAGAGTATAAATATGTAATAATTTGTCGAAAATGAACAGAATGATATTTTTTGTAGAGTAAAGTTCCTTAATATCGGTATAAAAGCATTTGCTATTTACTATTAGTATCTAGAAACATCATGTACAATAATGAGTTTTAAGAACTCCTTTTTACCCTCATGTTCACCAACTATCCTGTTTATAGCACATGACGCATGCTCCTTTTGAAGCAGATTAAGATCTATCTCCGGAAGGCCTGTGATGTCTCCAAAGCCATCTTTTCCATGGTAAAATTTAGCGTTTTTTCCATGGTCCACGAGGGCCTTTGAGCAACCTTTATATACAGGAATCTAAAACAACAAGATGAATTCAAAAACAGAGTCAAAAATAGCAAATGTTTTGAGTTAAGCCTTCTCTGCCTTGACGATGATGCCAAAACAAAAACAAACAAAAAACATACACACAGGAAAAAGGGTTTTCGAGATAAGACAGGGGACAGACGGACGCTGCACACTATTCTATCAGAAAAGTTCACTTGAGCTCTTGACTTAAGTTGCGGATAAGAGATAGGTTTCCCCATTATCATAGAAATAATGGCAATGTCCTTGCTTTGCTAAGGGAAATCCCAAATATCTGTCCAAGGAGAACATAAAAAAGAAGATGCACAATGATACTTTTTAAAAAAGAATCTTTGAAAGTATCATTAAATTTTATTCAGTTGTATAGGAAGTTTGCGGGTAAGAGATGGGTACCTCCAAATGTTATAGAAAGAATGGATGTGTCCATGTTTTGCTATGGTAAACCCCTAATACCTGTTTGATTCAAACGTAAAATAGGAGGTGCACAATGGGATCAGCTATATTATGAAGATTCTGTGAGAGTTTTATTAAATTTCATTCTATGGTATAGGAGGAATGCGGATAAAAGATGGATACCCCCAAGCGTTTCGGACGGAAAGGCGTACCAAAGGAAGGACGCACAGACAGAAGGACGTACCGACAGACACAAATTTTTGGAATATTCATGAACAAAGTTTAAAGTGAGGGGTATATATAAAATATATCAAATAAAAGAAAGCATTAAAGAACTTACATCCAGGCGATCACACACAGTAAGCACGCGTAATACATTTCGACAGATATAATCCACTTCCGTGTTTCCACTCACACAGGTTATTGCCAGGACTTCCGATTCCGGTCTAGACACTGCCAGCATTATGGCTTGTGCATCATCTATTCCGGCATCACAATCGATAATGAGCTTTGTCTTCTCCATTCTCTTGTGAAAAGGTGAAAGAATACAAGTAGTGTTTTTCTAAAGCAACAAATGTTATCACTCGCATGAAGTTTCAATATATGATTACTTGTCATGCTTTTGTTTTTTAGGTAGCGTAAGCAAGAAAATTGGGGTTTGTGGTGCATGTTCTATAAAGTATAGGCTCTCATCAAGAGATCGATAGCAATGAGCATATTGCAGTTCAGTGAACCACACAAATGCTGAAACTGAATCTTCAGGAGCAAAGTATATGTCATAACATTTTTGACTTAGTCTAGTACATATGACTTTTTTGCAGTCCCAACAGACAATAATTATTCAAATTTAAACTTCTTTTATTCCTTTAGTTTTTAATTGCAGTTTTTCATTGCAATTCAGATTTGATGTAATGTCCCAAATTTTACTCCTAGTCCTGCAATTAACGACCTCTCCTGTCATTTTTTTTGTTTCTTTAATCAAATCTATTTTATACGAAATTTGGGCTCCCAGTTTTACCTTGCTTAAAGGGTTATGCAAATGGAACTTTGGAAAATACATGGAGTACTACCCTTTTTCACGAACTGCTGTCCTGCTGAAGATGAGAGAGATTTTTAAAGCTGAGCTATAAATGATTATTTATTACGATAAACACCGACACCTTGTTAATACCATAGACCCAACTAATTGGAGATGCTTGCATGTGAATTCATTTCATTGACGGCCTTTTGTCTTCATGAGCGGAATAAAAAAATTTGGTCCAATATTTTTGTGTGTTGTTTGTGTGAAAGACTATAGTGGCCCTTTCTAAACCAATTGGCTGTAAATTAACTGATATTATATCTTATCTTAATTGAAATATTTGCATATAAATTTTACTATTCGTGACAATGTTTTTCTTGAGAAAAAAGTCTGAAAAGATTTTCTATATAACACTCCTAAATAAGCAGAGCGCCCCTAATGTAACCCCAATAAAAGTTGACATCAAAGCTATATATATATATATATATATATATATATATATATATATATATATATATATATATATATATATGTGTGTGTGTGTGTGTGTGTGTGTGTGTGTGTGTGTGTGTGTGTGTAAGCATTTTCAGGAAGTGGAGATTCAATATTGTTCAAATCATGACCGCTGGGGGGTTGGGTTGTGCCACAACAGAGGATCAACTTTTACATAAGAAGATATAGGGAATATCTTTAAAAATCTTCTCAAGAATAGCAATTATTATATTATTCATATTTATACAGAATCACACTCAGGTAATGTAGATTCCAGTTTGTTCTAATCAAAGCTTTCACGAAAGTTCTTTATTTTTTGCCCCGGTGATTCTTGGATTTTTAAGACACCCAACCTTATTTTATTAACTGTTGATTTTAAATCCTTGGGAAGTCGACGTGGCCTGTAATATTAATGAATGTGAATCACCTTGACTTTGGCAAAGATGAGCTAAGTAAAGCATTCTACAAATCATCCTTAAACTTAATTATTTTTACATTTTATTCATTTCACGTTACAGTGGTTTCGACAAATCCATTCTTTCTCATTCATTTATAAATCTGTTCCAAACAAAGCAATGTTGAAAACTCAATTATATTTTACCTTGTCCAATTGAGTAATGAAGAATTAGAACAGTATACATGTATGCCTGTGGATTTTCATTTGTCCTAGATTGGTCGTCTAGCTTCGGAGGTTGGCGAAAGTGAAATATGTGAACATTCCCTAGAGGTAAGATTTGATAAAGATACACATGACTGTACTAGTATCTATAGATAACCCATTTAAACAAAAGTAGAAGATAAAATGATGAATAACAACAAAAACTTCGTAACTTTGTTCACTTTTTTGTTGTCCTATATTTAATATTGTCAATGATTTTCCATTTAAGTCAGGGGATATTCACTGAAACTTCCTCGATTAGAGGGGCAGGATTAATTTTGTTTAATTATGGAAGTCGTTGTATGTAGCACCTATTTATAGTGGAACGCTCTATATTTAAAACTTTTCAATATTTAAATAGAATGATAGAAAATGTTTCGTGAATATAGTATTTCCCTTTTAAAAATTGTTAAAATAATCATGAACAAAGTTTCAATACTGTAAAATCCGAAACGCTCTAATCAATACAAGTGTACTATCGAGTATAATGACCGATTGGTCCTGGGAAGAATATTATGGTACGAAGTCCGTGATGGCAGCTATAGAAAAAATGTCAGCTGATTTACATGTGTACCTACAGAAAATAAATTAAAAACACAAATAACAAATGTATCTTCCCACCATAACAAAGTTAGCTTTTATTATTTCTAGTACTTACAGATATGCGTACTCCTAAGGAATATATTCAAAGAAGTAGGAAAGATAAACAAACTTTAGTTATAAATTAAAAAAAAAACATATGCACACCTTATTGTATATATATATATATATATATATATATATATATATATATATATATATATATATATATATATATATATATATATAAATGGTTTTTTTTTTATCCCCGAGCCTTGACGATATACATCACTATCAAAAATATTTTACGCTATCAATATTTTTATTAGGAATGCACTTCATTTTACTTCATCCCTCTCACGCAAAACCCATTGTGACTTCACAGTAGTGGTATATGAAAAAAGAATGCAATAAGTGATATCAACGCGATAAAAGGGTAAACATGGGATAATTGTTTTTCTTTATTTCTAGCAGACAGTTCATTGAGACTTGTCTTCATGTGTAATTTTTATAACATAATAAAAATCATAATTTTATATATGAGATACATGTATATATCTCTCAGTTGATTCGATACGAAGAGCATGCTCTACGTATGTACAATTTCTAAAACGAGGTAAATTATTGACAAACAAGTTGATGAAACAAGAATATCAGCTGTCTCGTTTAAAGTCATCATTTCGTAAAATTCTATGGTCGATACGACTAGAATTAGACATTGTCAAAGAGTGTAAGAGTGACCCTACGCCTGACGTGTTAACAATTTCAGTCGACCCACAGGAGTTGCTCAACTTGTAGAAATGTCAAAAAAAACCGAGTCCATTCAGGAGGATACAATAACACTGAAGACTAGTATGGGAGAAGTGCAAGAAGACCAAAACACATTAACGCCATTAGTGGAAGAAAGGACCATTGCTGTGCTAAAGAGCGTTGAATCAGAATTAGGGGGTCTCTCAATTCACGTCAGAGAAATGACCAATGCCTTATTACGAAGGCAAGATGAAGCAATGGAAAAACAATCTGAAATGATGCAAGACAAGGTACGACTGTTTTCTGAAATGACCGAGACTTGCACACAGCGCTCAATGTGCCGAGAGGACAGCCCCAGGCAGGCGCCAATACCTAGTCAAAATCTCATGTCGGGACTGATGCAGTCGAGCGGACAGCCCTAGACTGCCACGATCAGACCAAACAAATCAACCGAGAACCTCAGGCACACTGGGAGGCCATAACTTAAGGCCAACTATCTGTACTCCTGTACCTGGTTCAGGTGATGTGTCATTTCGGCCAGTATTGGACACTATTAGCAATTTTGAGTCTAGCCGTCACCCAGCTTCTGTGGGACAAGTAAGGCAGGAATATTTACCTCGACAGACATTACCAACATTTGATGGCAGTTGGGAATGGGAAGGATTCTTAGTTCCCTTCCACAGAGTGGCTCAACGTTATGGGTAGTCTGCAGAAGAGAAAATGGACCGTTTCATTGAATGCTTAAGAGGCCAGGCATCAAAATTTTTATGTAGCCTGCCATCTTCTGTTCAGATGATTATGCTAGATTACTTAAGCATATGGAAGATCGCTTTAATAGAAAAGACCTTCCGACCACTGCAAGAAAGCAATTGGAGGAAGTCAGGCAAAAATCAGAATCAGATGATGAATTTGCTGAACAAGTCAGACGCTTGGTTTCAAGGGCATTCCCATCAGTGAGCATTGAACTTTAAGGAGAAATTGCAGCTGAATCCTTTTTGAAGGGGTATAAAAATGCCAGAATAGGATACGATGCCCTGAATAAAATGCCTAAAACTATTACGGGCTAATTTAGGCCGTGAAGATTCCCAGCACCGTAGGTTTTCTAGGAGAGTATCCTGGTATGACGACTCGCATACTGACAGTCAAGAAGAGGGGGATTTTGGTGAAAAAGTCAGAGCCTTGTCAACTGCTGCATCTGGAGAGAAAAAAAAGGGGGAGATAATGGAACTTAAGAAATTAATAGAGAGGAAAATAGCATTATCCAAAACATCGCCGAGATCGTCATCTCTACAAGGAGGTTGTTTTAAGTGTGGCGATACAAGCCATTTTCAGAGAAATTGCCCAAGATCACCATCACGCTCACCAAAACGAAAAGCCGAACTACCGGTTGAGAATGACGCTGAAAAAAGATGCTCAAAATTGGAATGGAGGAAGTGGAATCTTCAATCAGAGTTCCAGTTGAAATAAACAGTCATAAAACAAAAGCAGTAATTGATACTGGTGCAGAAATCGCAGTCCTGTCTGAAGACTTTGTTAAAAAAGTAGATTTGGATTATTCCTGCTCTGACAAAGTTACACTTCTTAATGCAGAAACTGGCAATAAGATGATAGCAGTAAATAATGTTAGTGAAAGCATTAACTTGGGGCAAGTCGACTACCAGTTAGAAAGTGTACATTGCCCCCATTCGCGATGATGTACTAATTGGAATGGATTTACAGATGGCTGTTGATGCTGTAGTCTTAGCAAGACATGGTGATTTATTAGTTTTTTGTTTGTTCGTTTGTTTATTGTTTAACGTCCCTCTCGAGAATTTTTCACTCATATGGAGACGCCACCACTTGCCAGTGGAGAGCTGGAAATTTTTTACCTATACTCGGCACTCAGGGCCATTGAGCAGTGAGGGATCTTTTTCGTGCCAGCACCTACTGCGACACGGGACCTCGGTTTATACGGTCTCATCCGAAGGACCGGTCTTCACGTCCCACAGTGGGATTCGAACCCGCGACGTAAGGATCAACTCCTTACTTCGCGGCTCTAGAGCGAACGCTCTAACCACTGCGCCACGCGGGCGACGTGATTTAT